CCTTTTTGACTGGGTGGAGCACCGGGGGATCCCCCCTGGAATTCTGAGGGACACTTTTGGATGGGGTCAGTCTCCATCCCGAGGGTGACACAACCCCCGGTCAGGAAAAACCGGGGGGAGGACGGGCCAGGAAATGACAGAGGGGTGAGGAAGAGGCCGAACCCGGTCCCTGTGGCACCAAAGGTGCCCTCCCCGTGCCAGCTGGGACAGCCCCGGGGCCGGGAGGGGCTCCGGGAAGGGGGGTTGGGAATCGGGAAAGGGGTTGGGAATCGGGAAAGGGGTCGGGAGTCACCCCCCAGGTGAGGGGTTGCACAGGGGGTGGGATCCCCCCCTCTATCCCCCCCTCCATCCCCCCCTCCATCCCCTCCCAGTGACCCTTTTTGGGGTGTCCTCGCTCCCCCCGTGACCCTTTTTGGGGTCCCCACACCCGGGCAGGGAGGGAGGGGTTGGGAATTGGGGTTTCCCGGTGCTCCAGATCGACCTGGAGGCTCCAACCGAGCCTCGTAAAGCGGGGGGTCACAACTTCCAGAGGGGTCACCTGAGCTGGGGGAGCTTCATCACCCCCCAAAAACCTGGGGGGGGGGGCAGAAATTTGGGTCCCGCTCAGCACCAGCAACACCGAGGGGTCCCAATCACCAACCCCCCCCCCTTCCTCCCACGGCAAAGACCCCCCCCGTGCCGCTCTCCACATCCCGTGGGGGATGGAGCAACACCGGGACAATACTGGATTTACCAGCCCTTCCTCCCACCGCGGGCAGCCTGTAATTAAAGCCGCGCTCCTAATGAGTTTTGGGGGAAGTTCGGGCGCAGCCTTCGCCCGTGGAGCCCGGGCTGGCACCAAACTCCTCCCTCGCACCCCTCACACCCCCCCCCCACCCCGTTCTCCCGTGGGGGGGGGGGACCCGCATATAACAGGGAGCACCCCCGGGAAGCGCCGGGAAAAGCTCCGGCATTCCCGAGCCACGACCGTGGAAACCTGGAGGAGGATGAGGATGGTGCTGCTGCTGCTGCTGCTGCTGCTGGGGGCGGGGATCGATGGCCGTGAGTGATTTTGGGGAGGGGGGGAAAAGGGTTGGAGTGTGGTGGGGAGAGGTGGGTGGGTAGGGGGGGGGCTCAGCCCCGCGCGCCGCATCCCACGGGAAGTGGGATGGGAGGGGAGGGAGGGGACAGGGATAACCAAAAACCAGGAGCTGGGCTGTGCTGGGACAACTGGTTCCTCCGGAGGTCGGGAATTGTGTATGTGGAGGGGGGAAAGGGTGGAAGGTCCTCCCCACCGAGGTCTGGGGGACTCGGTCTGGGATGTGGTTTATCCACGGGTGGAGATTCCCTGGTGGATCCGTCTCCTCCTGGGCTGACATTCCCAGGTTTATCCATTTCCTGGGCTGAATATCCCGGGTTTATCCTTGTCCTGGGCTGACATTCCTGGGTCTATCCACCTCCTCATGGGGCTGGAATTCCCTGGTTTATCCACCACTTTATGAGCTGAATTCCTCAGGATTATCCACCTCCTCCTGGGCTGACATTCCCAGGTTTATCCATCCCCTCACAGCTGCAGATTCCCAGGTTTATCCATCTCCCCCTTCCCTTCCCGGTGGTCCCGAGGGGTCCGGAGGGAGGAGGAGGAGGAGGAGAAGCAGGGGCTGTGGCTCTCAGGAGTGTCCTGCGGTTTCCCAGCTCCATGCAGGAGTTATTCCAGAGGAAAAACCGGGATCAGGGTGTCTGGGGAGCTCCTGGCCGAGCCGTGGGCTGTTCCTGACGGACCTGTCGGATGGGCCTGGAGCAAATTCCCTCCCCCTGGTCCGGCCAGGACTGTGGGGGGAGATTTTTTTCCCTGATTGTCCCGCGGACAAAGCAGCTCCCTGTGGGTTGGGAGCACCCGGAGGAGTCACCTTGGGGAGCCCGGGGCTGGAATTGTTCCTGTTTGGAGCTCGTTTGTCCTTCCCAAAAGAGGCCCTTTCAGAGGCCCGGCTGGGGTTTGAGTCAGGGCTGGGGGTTTGTGACTCATCCCCGTGTCCCCAAAGTCACCTCCCAACCATCTCCCACACCCGGGGGGGCTGCTGGGGGAACAACCCCCCTGCCCTGGGCCCAAACTCCTCCTGGCAGAGGTGAAAATGGACCCGTTTGTGTCCCAGGAGCTGCTCGAGGGGAGGCAGGGAGGGGTCTGGGAAGGGACATTTGCCCAGATTTGGGACCATTTGTGACCATCCGGGGTGGGGGGGGATGTCCCTGGAGCCATTTAGGGCCCCCGACCCCGACTCAGGTCCCTCCAGGGGACGGGGGCGGTGACACCGAGGTGGCTCCTCCGAGCTGTCCCAGCCCCTCTGAGTCACCCCCAAGCCCCGGGGAGGGGGAACCGGGGCCGTGCCGGGACCTGCTCGGGCTTCACGTGCCCCGGGAACGGTGAGTGATGTGTGGGCAGCTCCTGCCTTGCACAATCCCGCCGGGAACGCGGCTGGAAAACGAGCCGGGCTGAGTGAGCCGGGCTGACTTATCCCGGTTATCCCTGGCGTCACTCGGGGAGGGAGGGGGGGATGGGGAGTCTCGGGTGGAGAGTCCCTTGGGTGCCCCATAGAGTGTCCCTGTCGTGGCTGGGATGTCCCTCTGACCCCCGGGATGTCCCTTCGACCCCCAGGATGTCCCTCTGATCCCTGGGATGTCCCTCTCCTGTTTGGAATGTTCTTTGATCCCTGGGATGTCCCTTTGACCCCCAGGATGTCCCTTTGATCCCTGGGATGTCCCCTGATCCCCAGGATATCCCTCTGATCCTTGGGATGTCCCTCTCCTGGTTGTGATGTCCCTTTGACCCCCGGGATGTCCCTCTGACCCCCGGGATGTCCCTACCCGGGCCGTGCCGTGCCAGGAGCTGCCCCGAGGCCACGTTTCACCCTCCGGAGCCGCAGTTGGGTTGAGCAACCCCGGCGGTGCCTCAGATGGAGGCGATTGCAGGTTTGGCAGGGGCGGCCACGCCTCCTCCCGCAGGGATGCTCCAGGGATGCTCCAGGGATGCTCCAGGGATGCTCCAGGGATGCTCCAGGGATCCTGCAGGGATCCCTGGGCGGGGGTGGCAGCTCTTGGGACGCGTCCTGGGACACAAAGGGCTGCCCAGGTGGCTTTTCCACCACCTCCTGCTCCCACCGGGAGCCCGGAGCTCCTTCCCCTCCTCCCCGGGGGACAAACCCCACTCCTCTCCCGGCCGGGTGAGGAGCGTCCCCCGTCCCTCTGCGAGTGACACTCGTGTGACACTCCCTCCCCCTCCCCACAGCCCCGGCTCGCTGCTATTTTTGGTGACCGGGCAGGTGTTCAAACAACGCCGCTCAGCACACACAAACAGCTCGGGAAGCGCTTCCCGGTGTTTGCCGGCGTGTCTGGAATGCGGCAACTCCCCCTGGGGCAGGGCCTGGGGTGCCCCTGCTCATCCCGGCATCATCCCGGTGAATCAGGGGTGGTGGGGGGGGTAAACCCGGCTTTGTTTCCTGCTGGGAACGCGCTGGGTCCCCGCGGGGCAGACAGGAGATGTCACCTCCGAGCCCTGACGGATCCCCCGGGAGGCTCCAAGGCAGGAGGAGTTCGGGCTCTCCGCGGGGGTGGGAAGGACGGGATGTCCCCATTTCGGGACTCCCCCCCTTCCTAAAGACCCCCCGCTGTGTTTCTGTTCCCCCCCCCCAAAGACCTGTACACGGCCCCCGAGTCGTGCGTGGGCCGCTGCGGGGAGCCCCTGAGCGAGGAGGACGCGTGTCATTGTCACCCGCGCTGCGAGGGGCTCGGCAGCTGCTGCGGGGACTACGACAGGCACTGCCGGCCCGGTGAGACCCCCCGGGACGGGGAGGGGGGCATGGGGGGGGGTCGGGATGGGGTGGGGGAGGTCCTGGGAATCCCCCCCCCCCCCCTCAGAGCGGCTCCATCACCTTTTCCTTTCGGCCCGTGCAGGTGGGGAAGGGGATGAGGAGGCAGAAGGAGCCCCAGGTGAGTCCTGCCCAGGGCCGAGCAGGGGATGGGGGGCCTGGGAAAGGAGATGGGGGGGTCAGGATGGACCCCCAAATCCCACAGAGGGTCCTGGGACTGTGTCCCTGTGTGCCTGTGCACCCCAAACCCCACAGGGACCCCCCCGGGTCGGTGTTCCCAGGGTCCTGTGCACCCCAAACCCCACAGGGACCCCCCCGGCTCGGTGTCCCCGGGGTCCTGTGCACTTGTGTCACTCTGGTGACCCCTGACACAACCCAAGGGAAGGGCTGGAGCTGTGCCAGGGCAGGGCCAGGTTGGATTTTTTAGGGGGAAAGGTTCTTCCCCCAGAGGGTGGTCAGGCACTGAACGGGGTTTGGACAACACCCCCAGGATTCTGGGATTGTGGGGATTTGGGGAATGTGGGATTTTGGGATTAGTGGGATTTTGGTGCTGGGGAGGGGTCGGGACCCCCCTGGACCTCCCTCCCCCCCATCTCTCAAGGTCCGAGGGGTGCAGGACCACCCTCACACCCCCCTCCCCCCCCTCCCCCTCCCCGCAGGGGGGTTCTCCCGGAGCGGCGATTCCATCACGGAGCGGGAGCTGCTGGAGCTGTCGGAGCAGCTCTGGGGGTTGGATCACAACCGGGCCCTGCCCGGCGACATCACCATCAACCCCCAGCACCGCGCGGGCCCCGGCGAGGAGCGACAGCGCCAGGACCTGTCCCCGCAGCCGTGAGTGGCCACCGGGGGGAAGGAGGGGTGGGGAGGGAACCCCTCTCCCCTTTTTTCCCCTCCTCTCCCCACTCTTCCCACCCCCTCCAGGCTCTACAAACACGTCAACGAGGAGCTGTTCTCCAAGCCCACCTACTCCAGCTTCATCAAGCTGCTGGATAATTACCAGCGGGCCACGGGCAGGGGGGAGGAGGTGACGGCCGAGGAGCTGCGCGAGCAGGACAACTTCCTGGGGGAGGTGATGAAAACGGAGCTCGTGAGGGAACTCTTCGCCTTCCTCCGCCACAAAAGTGGGTCGTGGGGGCCTTGGGGGATCCCCCGGGGAGGGTCCAGAGGGGTGGGAGATGCCCCGGGTGGGGGGGCTGGAGGATTCCCGAGGGATGGAGGGGAGGGGGGAGCCCCGGCTCTGCCTCTCCCCAGGGCATCTCCCACCCCCCTGGACCCTCCCTCGGGTGTCCCACGGCTCTCTCCTGTCCCCCCCCAGACCGGTACAGCTCCGAGCAGGAGTTCCTGGAGGATCTGAAGGGGATGTGGTTCGGCCTCTACTCCAGAGGGGACGGAGAGCAGGATTCCAGCGGCTTCGAGCACGTCTTCTCAGGTACAGCCCCCCCCTGATAGGGTGGGGGGCACCGGGCAGGGCCGGGGGGGCTCACCCGGGGGTGTTCTTGGTGTTTAGGGGAGGTGAAGAAAGGGAAAGTGTCTGGATTCCACAACTGGATTCGCTTCTACCTCCTGGAGAAACAGGGAGTGGTCAACTACTTCAGCCACAACTTCGACGGCCCGGTGAGTGAGTGAGTGAGCCTGGGGTGGGGAGGGGGGGGGGGCCTGCAGGTCCTGGGGGGTCTGTGATGGGGTCAGGACACCCTGTGGGGTCTGTGATGGGGGCAGCACCACCCCAAACCAGCCTCATCCCAATGGGATGGATCCAGAGCCTCAGGGGTGGATCCAGACAACCAGGGATGGGTCCAGACCCTCAGGGATGCTCCCCCTGCTCCTGTGGGTGTCTCAGGGGTGGAGTGGGGCCAGCAGGTCCAGAAGGGACAGCCCAGCACCCAGAAGGGTTCCCGGGGCAGGAGCAGATCTGGGGGGGTTCCTGGGGCAGGAGCAGCTCTGGGGGGGTTCCTGGAGCCCCCAGAGCAGGGACTGTGACCCCCCTGTCTCCCCCCTCCCCAGTGGGACTCGTTCCCCACCGTGCTGGGGCTGCAGTTCAGCTGGGATGGTTTCCACAAGGAGGTGGGATCGGCCTTCATCGGCTCCAGCCCCGAGTTCGAGCTGGGCCTCTACACCCTCTGCTTCCTGGCACGGCCTGGCCGGGCGTGAGTACCCCTGTCCTGGCTCTGGCTGTCCATCTGTCCTGGGCTCTGGCTGTCCATCTGCTTGTCCTGTGTCCGTCTGTCCTGGTCTATCTGTCCTGGGTCTGTCCACCCTGTGTGTCTGTCTGTCAGTCCACCCCATGCCCACTTCTCTCTCTCTCTCTCCTGGCAGATGGGATTGTGGGATGAGGGACCTGGAGATGGTCCCAGAGATGGGATTGTGGGATGAGGGACCTGGAGATGGTCCCAGAGATGGGATTGTGGGATGAGGGACCCAGGGATGGTCCCAGAGATGGGATTGTGGGATGAGGGACCTGGAGATGGTCCCAGAGATGGGATTGTGGGATGAGGGGCCCAGGGATGGTCCCAGAGATGGGATTGTGGGATGAGGGGCCCAGGGATGGTCCCAGAGATGGGATTGTGGGATGAGGGACCTGGAAATGGTCCCAGAGATGGGATTGTGGGATGAGGGATCCAGGGATGGTCCCAGAGATGGGATTGTGGGATGAGGGGCCCAGGGATGGAGCGGTTTGGGTGTGGGGACACCCCAGACACGCCCCCCCTGGGGCTCAGGGGGTGACAGGGCCGTGTCCCCACAGGTGTCACCTGAGCCTGGGGGGTCACAGGCTGAGCATCCAGACCTTCCCCTGGACCAAATCCACCTACGGCAGCGGCAGGAGCTTCATCGCCACCGCCTACGTGATGTCACCCTGAGGGGACACCCCCACCGCCCCTCCCCGGGGCCAGGGCTGCCTCTGGCACTGGTCTGGACTGGTCTGGACTGGTCTGGACTGGTGTGGCTGCAGGAAGTGGAGCTGTGGGACCAGTGGGAGCTGGGCAGGACGTCGATGGCTGAGCCCTGCGAGGGGACAGAGGGGACACAGAGGGACCCCCTGAGCCCCCCTGGGTGCTGCAGCCCCCATCACAGCAGAAGAGCAGGGAAAGGGGGGGGTAGGGGGGATTTGCCGTGGAAAGGAGGATCCCAGAGGGAAATAAATCTGGACTCTGGCTGGAGATGGGTTTGCTTTCAGTCCTGTCCCAGGGGCAGCCCCTCCCCGGGGGAACTGGGGTCTGTGGGGGGCTCATCCCACATCCCTGCACACCTGGGGTCTCCCCGTGGGGCTGCAGGTCCCCAGAGACCCCTCCCCAAACCCCCCCCACCCCCCACCCAGAGCTGCTCATGGTTCCAGGTGCTTCTCTCAG